CAGCCCTGCATGAACCTATGGAGAAGCAGTGCATTTGTGAATGAAAATTACTGCGTACGACTATGAAAAAAAATATTTAGGAGCACCAGTGTGACTGACCCGATCAGCATATTTGTGTTTGCGCTCAGGGGAGCTTCAAAGGTTTCTAACTTATTTACAACGTGTTTTTGCTGCGTTGAGTAATGTATCACAGACAAATCTGTTGATTCCTTGAACACAATGTTAATCAGAATCCACTCACTACTCAAACACCTGAGTTTTGTTCAGTGCTGAGTTCTGCAATCTCACGAATCCTCTCATTATTGCAAACAAAGTGTTGACAGGGTGTAAATAAGAGATTCATTGTGCAGTGTAGGGAGCTTCATCGATTATAATGGAACTTTGTGAGATCGCGATGAGTGAGTGACAGCTTTTAATGATTATTAAGGGAGTTTGCAAATGTGATATTGATTTAATACAACAGTTCATTAAACAAGAAATTAATATTAAGTGACTTGCATTGTCTGACTACAACACTATTGCCTGATTTTGCTCTATTTCATCAACGAAAATAGTTTCAAACAAAGTCACAGCTGAGCCGCTGCGCATTTCCACGCAAACACAGCGGTGTTTCGTTTATGAATGAACATGCGTTTTTAAACAAATCTGAATCAATTACCCATTCATAAAGCCAGTCACTTGCTTCATTCCTGAATGAATTAGTCGTTCGAACGAATCAACTGAATGAATGATTCAGTGATAAACTCAATGATTTGCCGCCACCTACTGGCAGTTTTACTTTCATTTTTAAAGGATCTTTTCTGTTATTTAATTCGTTTAATATTTCTATATTCAAAATGTTATATTTAAAATATTAACTTTAACATGAATTTAATTCCACTCATGCCACCTCTGAGCTTCATTAAACATCTGAAAATACACCTACAAGCCACTTTTGTGTTCTTCTGTGCCACCTCTGTGGTACAAATCATTTTTTTTTAAATAATGATTTTATTTGATTAGTAACTTATTCTTATTCTACTTGATTTTATTCTGTTGTTTTAATTAGAAATTTTAAAAAGCTTATAAATATATATTTTTTGGAATTTGACATAAAAGAAATATTTGATCAGAATTTTTGATTATTGATTAGAAGAAGGTGCTCCTGAAATTTTTGACTGTGCTCCTAAAAATTTTTTTATTTTTAAATTAAAGTACGCACAGAGCCCTGTTTAATTACTTTTTATTAATTAAAAAAATTGAGAAAATCTCTCAAATTTAAATCTTTTACAAGAATTACAGCAAAAACCAGTTTGACGCAAGAATATATATTTTTATTAATATTTGAGAAATTGTATTTGAATATTACCAGTGTGAACTCCATTGACTT